ATATCTGGTTAATGAGCCGATTATTGTAGAGATGGCCAAAAAGCATAGCAGAACCGCCGCCCAGATTCTGATCCGGTGGTCGATCCAGAACTCTGTGCCCACAATTCCCAAGTCTACTAAACAGAGTCGAGTTGAGGAGAATTTTAATGTTTTTGACTTCGAGTTAACGGAGTCTGACATGAATTCACTGAACCGTTTACACGACGGACGCAAATACATCGACAGCTCCAACATTAAGGATAAAATCGACGAACAGTTACCCGACGGATACAAATTGGGAAATATTAATGTAACTAATAATAGACAAAATATTATTTTAGAAGCAAATGTCTAAATTATTTAAGTGTATGTATATTTAATTTTAGCAATAAAATAGATTTCCTGTATATTTGACTTATATTCCATATCAATTCGTTTATTAAACTAATTTTTAATTATTCTTATATGGTACAAATTAATTTTTAAATATAGATTGAATGGAAAATTTCAGGGTTTGCATGGTTTATAAAACAACTAAAGTAATTTGACTGTATCAATAATTCATCATCATAATAATTTTAAAATCATAAAGACAATGTAGGGCTTATTAATCTCTTATGCATATCATAAATTAATTTCTGATTTAAGCCTCGATTTTAATGTTAATCATAGAATTTCTATTAATTTTGTAAAATATTTATATATTCTTGAATGCATTTGTCATAATATATATATTATATTAATATTAAATAAGTAAATACCAATTTAATCATTAAATATAATTATTAACAGATTTGTTTAAAATTACATTAAAATATGTGAACAATTTATTAATAAATATTATTATTGTATTATTTAAGTTAATTTTAAATACAATTTGTGTATTAATGATAACAATNTTATTGTATTATTTAAGTTAATTTTAAATACAATTTGTGTATTAATGATAACAATATTATATTTGTATAAAACAATGACAAAAAATGATATGATTTGTAGAGTTAGTAAAAGCAAGTAAAATAATATGATTTATAATAAGTTATTATTAACAACAGCACCAATTGAATGGATACCACATTGTCGTCAAAAATCAATTAATCAAACATGAATTCATTATTTTAAATACAATTATAGCTATTCTTATGACTTATAAATTATAAGTTATAATACAAATAGACTTTGAATTTAAATTCTACTAATTTTCTGGAATGCCTTCAAAATTAATTAATTAAAATTAATTTAATGAATATTTCAAATAATTGAAAAATTGTACATTATTTGTTGTCTTAATTATAAAATAATTTGAATCAATGAGATAACAATTATTGATAAAAACAATGAGAGTTAACAATAGTTTTATCACAATATTTCGTCGAGTTTTATCGGAAAAAAAACGGTTTTTGACTAATAATTAAAACTATTATATAAACATAAGTTAAGTCTGTAATTAATATAATAGCATTTATATAACTATTTTATTGATTTTATTGAAAGCTGAATATACATATTTTAACTTATTAAAACAATAATATATCAGAATTTATACGAATATTGAATATTTAGTTTGTTCGTTAATTAATAGTAATACATATCGTATTATATAAAAGTCAAGTCAGGAAGGCCTAGCGTTAGTGACCCCATAATCAGAAGTGCTGGTCGTCAACCCCAGTTGTGTCTACGTCATATCTGGTGTCAATCTCTGGTATATAATTAAAAACTTATATTTGGTAGGATAATGCTATAATACAGATCTATAAATATTTGCCATCCCTTAACCCTCAACTTTTTCATATATGGTTATTATTTGTAACATTTCTGACCAATTAATAATATAAGTTAAATTTGTTGACCACTATTAATGTGATTATTATTTGAATAAAGAAATATTTGCATTGATTTTCAACAAACATTTATAATAAGTTATAATTAGTTTCAAAGTATAATATAGTAAAAGTGATGATCAAGTAATCAATTGGTCTCATGTTTTGCATAATTTATATGAAATATAGCAATAGTTAGAAAGTATCATATTTTATATTTTTGTTTCCAAAAAATAAAATCAATAATGTTTAACAAATGACTTGAAATTTATAAATAAAAATCTAAATAATTAACAAAATTAATAGATAATCTCAATAAAAACAATATACAGTATAAATGAATTAACATTTAATTACAATTCAACGTAAATTTCCATCTCTTCACTCGTAATGAACTGAATTCAAAGATTATTTCATTTACACAAATGATTAAAATTTAATTACAAGAGAGACATTCAATTACACGCTGCCATTAGAGACGATACGAATCCGACTTTTGTGATCTCGTAGATTAAAACCAAATTATAAATTGAATTAAATTTATGCAAATATATTAACAAATTCTTAAGAAATTGGCACTTGATATTTAAATAATAATTATTATTCCGATTCTGGAGTACAATAAATTATTGTCAATAATACAAAAAGTGCTTTGAAATATAAAAATAAAAAGTTTTCAACACAATATAAGCTTTGATTTGCAAAAAATAAATGCAACTTTTGTACGGAATTTGCATTTCCTTTGGTTCACACAATGATTTTTATAAAATGATTACTCACACACTTTACTTTCACAAACAGTTGTGAATTTGAAATGACGACAAGACTCTATCCTCGAGAATATTTAATTTTTTTCTTTTAAAACTCAATTACCATAAGTTGTGATGACTTCTAATCAATAAATAGTAGAACTCTTTTAGGGATCATTACAGAGGCAGATATAAAGGCTTTACTTAAGCCATATTTCCACATATACTGTATAGTCTACAGTGCAGACAATGAATGCCATTTACAGCCACAATATGTGATCTCATTTTATTTTAAATCCACATGTCTTTCAAACTGATTTTCCACAATATATTTAAATTTTCAAATCCTGTGTTTGAGATCTATTTAGCTTAAAATATTAGTTCAATATATTGTTTAATGACGGATTCATTTAACAAACTAACGATGGATTCATTCAATTTATTTTTTGCAATAATAAAGATTAAATTCGTTATTATTTTCCATGCAATAGATTTGAGAATTAATCTTAAGATGCATTAATGATATCATTATTATATATCAATTCCCAGATAAAGGATTTATCTCAATATCTTACAAACGTTTTTGGTTCTTGTCTTTAATTATTTGTTATAATAATCACTATATGTTTTGCAATGAATTGTGTAATAAATGGTATTATGTTTTTAATGTTGAAGAGTGGGAAGTGAGTCAATTCGGAGAGGCGTTAGCGTCTAAGTTGGCGCTGACGGCGGCCGACGAGTTGGCCCATCACAACAAGACGTTCATCACTCAAGTCTCCCCCGATGTCAGTCGAGTCGACTCAAGTAATGTCAATCCATTGGATTTCTGGAATTGTGGCGTCCAATTAGTGGCCATGAATTATCAGGTTTGTTTTTCTCAATTTATTACCAATATTAGCAATTATATTTCACATTTTGTTTGGTTGTAATCAACGCTCGCTTCAATTTTATAGACTATAACTAAAATGTGATTCTTATGTTTTGGACAGACCGGCGGACAAATGATGGATCTATACAGGGGTTGGTTCAGTCAAAACGGTTCGTGCGGTTATGTATTGAAACCGGCGTTTCTTAGGGAAAGATTCTGTTTGTTTAACTCCAGACGGAAGGACTCGTTACCCGGTATGCGCTCTGCCATTACATTTGCTCTACTATTTCAAAGCATTTGAATTATTTAATATAAATCTATAGTTTTGCAAGTTTTGTAGATTTTCTAATTAATATATTTATGTTAAGTGTTATTCTCGTCAATAGATGTTTGGTATAAAACAGAATAATTTTATGCATTTTCTTGACTCTAAATTTATATCAAAACTTAAATTCAAAGTTTATTTTATATCAAATTTGTGCGGAATATATGCTGTCTTTGCATTTTATTGTATTAATTGTTGATATAATATATTCATTCAGTTGCGAACGAAAAATAGATTTTCAGTTTTGAATTTATAATTTGAGGCTTAGTTCAGTCCTTTTAACGTTAAATATAGCATTAATTCAATGTTTTATTAAAATCACTGTATCTAAATATATTCATTCAGTTGCGAACGAGAAATAGATTTTCAGTTTTGAATTTATAATTTGAGGCTTAGTTCAGCCCTTTTAACGTTAAATATAGCATTAATTCAATGTTTTATTAAAATCACTGTATCTTTTATATCAGTCTTTCATTTCAATGAATTAAATAGATTTCTTTGAGTTGAGTTTTAAACGAGTTATTCTTACTATAATTTTCTCTTTTATTATAACTATTAAATGAATTTTCATAATTCACGTCAATTTCTATACATTTCTATTCATTAAATTTCATTTTGCATTTTATAATACATACAATGTATGAGAAAATAGTGAAATAAAATGCCTTTAGTTTTATCGCAAACCATAGTTTAAGCGAAACTAAAAACTCATTTTTGTGAAAGAAATAAATTAAGAAATGATTGAATACATTGTCTAAATCGTTGACTCTGTTTAATGATTAATGATATTAAATGTATAGATTATATATTGCTTTATACGAGAAATATTTTCTACATAGCCATCAAATATTCATAGAAAATATTTATTTTAATAATTTGTTATATAAGGACTGAATTGATAACTATTGTATATATTTGTGTGCATTAATTATTAACTAAATTTATAATTTGCAAACACAGGTATCGATCCGTTATGTATTAGATTGAAAATAATAAGCGGCCAACAGTTGCCGCGTCCGAGAGGGGCGTCGAGTAAAGCGACGTCAATAGACCCGTACGTAATGGTCCAGATGTTTGGCGTTCCGGCCGATTGTGCCGAAGCGCGGACCCGAACCGTCACTAATGAGAACCCCATTTTCGAGGAGAGCTTTGAGTTCAACGTATCGGTGCCTGAGTTGGCTCTCCTCAGGTTTGTCGTACTCGACGACGACTATATCAACGACGACTTCATCGGCGAGAATGTGGTTCCCATTGAATGCATACAAAGCGGTTATAAACACATCAGACTTCATAACGCGAACGGCGAGTGTCAGCCGACGGCCACAATCTTCGTCCAAATATCTCTGACCCATCGCTACGGCTCTAAGCAAAAGCTGCGACGGAAGAGGAGTTGGTCTCAGAAACAGTCGACGGATTTGCGGTCGATTGGCGTCAAATCGATTGACGAACAATTTAAAAGCGCCTCAACTTTAATACACGAGTCAATCCAATTGAGAAGAAGTGTTGAGAAAGTGATCATTGATTTGTGCGATGAGTGCTCTCTGCAAGAGTCGGCAAATATGGCCCAATGTCTTCGAGTTGTGACACTTCGGTTGGCCTCCACTTCTACGGTCCAGTCGTGTGAAGTCGTTACCACCGATCAGGGCGTAAGTTATCTCTCAATCGTATAATTTAGGCAATACTTACCAATTGTCAGCAAATTGACTGACAATGGATTTTATTAACTATCAAATTGAATATTGTTTTGATTTAATACACATTCAGAAAATGCTTTATTTCACAATTATGTATATATTTATAGTCTATTAATCAATTATTTATAGATATTTTCATTTATTTATGGGAAATGAATTAATGAATGCATTTCCTGAACGTATAGAATAACGAGAGTATAGAATATTGAATAATAAATGCAAATATAATATGTTTTATAGAGAATAATGCATGTATTGAATGCAATTAGTGTATTGAAAACTCCTATACTGTTGTGTAGTATCCGGTACTGAGAGCTACGGGAGAGTTGACACCAAAGCTAACGAAGACAATGACTACTGTGGAGAAAACCGTCTCTGAGTTCTATTACGTGACACAAAACGCTAAGAACACCATTGATATGGTATGTCATCCGATACACCATTAACTCATTATATAACTCACATTCACTCTATTATTAACAAGTTTCTAACTTTTGTTTTTAACTCGTTCTCTCTCTCTCTCTCTCTCTCTCTCTCTCTCTCCACTCACTCTGTCTATTGTTACAGTTGTCTGAGATTCACGAAACAGTCGTCAGTCTTGGGGATCAATTGCCAACTCTTTGTACGAATCAAAGCATTAAAGGCAGAAAAGCCGACAAAATCGCTGAGAACTTCATGTGGGATATGAGTGTCTTGAGGACTGAAATGGATTTGTTGAGAGCCATCAAAAACGACTGCGAGTGTGCCTTAAAACAAGTGATTAATTATTTTCTTATCTTATTTTTCAGGAATTTTTTTCTGCCTAAAGTTTTTTATTCTTATTTTGCGAAAATGAAATGTAGTTTTATATAGTTTTATAATGCTTTTCAAATGATTTATAAGTTTTTGATTTTCTCTCCAAAGGTCGAGAGGTTAGGGCTTTCGTTGAAGAGAATATTCTTGAGAGAGCGCGAGAGCATGACGTCGAGCTCAGCGAAAGACCCGTTGGCTGTGCCGGTGCTGACCGGCGCCACACTTATGCCTCAACCGGAGCCCAAACAGCCGCCGCCGTCGCCCCTATCGCCAGGCGATGGCCGCCTCCGAAGTATACTCAAGAAGACTTCCCAATCTTCCAGTCCTTCAGCTTTAGATCAAAATGAGTCACATTTTCACGAAAATGTTTTTCTCAGTAGCGATGAATCAAATGCTTCTAATTCTCCAAAACTCAATAATAGCTAACAATTATCTCTCATCTTATCTTAAGTTAATTAATTATTTTGTTAATTCATTTATACTGTATATTGTTTTTATTGAGATTATCTATTAATTTTGTTAATTATTTAGATTTTTATTTATAAATTTCAAGTCATTTGTTAAACATTATTGATTTTATTTTTTGGAAACAAGAATATAAAATATGATACTTTCTAACTATTGCTATATTTCATATAAATTATGCAAAACATGAGACCAATTGATTACTTGATCATCACTTTTACTATATTATTTACTATACTTTGAAAATAATAATAACAATAACTTATTATAAATGTTTGTTTAAAATCAATGCAAATATTTCTTTATTCAAATAATAATCACATTAATAGTGGTCAACAGATTTAACTTATATTATTAATTGGTCAGAAATGTTACAAATAATAATCATATATGAAAAAGTTGAGGGTTAAGGGATGGCAAATATTTATAGATCTGTATTATAGCATGAATTCCTACCAAATATAAGTTTTTAATTATATACCAGAGATATTGTGGTCTATACTGCATCTGTGTTGACCCCAACTGCTGGTCGTGAAGACTAATACCCCAGTGATTGCGATCCGGAAGGACTGAACTGAAAATATATTATGCTATACATAATGATAATTAATTGCTTG